CACTTTTCCCCAGTCCATTTGCCATGAAGTGATGGGAGTGGATGCCATGATCTTAGTTTTATGAATGTTGAGTTTTAAGCCAGCTTTTTCACTCTCCTCTTTCACCCTCATCAAGAAGCTCTTTAGTTCCTCTTTGCTTTCTGCCATTAGCGTAGTGTCATCTGCATATCTGAGGTTGTTGATAATTCTCTTGGCAATCTTGATTCCAGTTTGTGATTCATCCAGCCTGGTATTTTGCATGACGTATTCTGCATAGAAGTTAAATAAGCAAGGTGACAGTATGTAATCTTCTCATACTTTCCAATTTTGAACCAGTCTGTTTTTCCATGTCTAGTTCTAAATGTTGCTTCTTGACTTGCATATAGGTTTCTCAGGAGGTAAAGTAGGGTGGTCTGGTATTTCCATTTCTTTAAGGATTTTCCACAGTTTGTTGTGATTCACACAGTTAAAGGCTTTAGTGTAGTCAATGAAGCAGAAGTGGGTGTTTTTCTGGAACTCCCTTGCTTTCTCCATGATCCAGCAAATGTTGACAATTTGATCTCTTGTTCTTCTGCCTCTTTGAAACCAAGCTTGTACATCTGGAAGTTTTTGATCATGTACTGCTGAAGCCTGGCTTGAAGGATTTTGAGCATAACCTTGTTTGCATGTGAAATGAGCAATTGGCCATGATTGTATAATCGTTAGTACTCTGTGTTGTGAAATGAGCAAAATTGTACAGTAGTTTGAACATTCTTTGGCATTGCCTTTTTGGGATTGGAGTGAATATTGGCCTTTTCCAGTCCTGTTGCCATTCCTGAGTTTTCCAAATTTGCTGACATTATCTAGTTCAGCACATTAACAGCATCATCTTTTATGATTTTAAGTAGCTCTGCTGGAATTCCATCGCTTCCACTAGCTTTGTTTGTGGTAATGCTTCTTAAGACCCTCTTGACTTCACACACCAGGATGTCTGGCTATAGGTGAGTGACCACACCATTGTGGTTATCTAGGTCATTAAGATCATTTTGCACAGTTCTTCTGTATATTCTTACCACCTCTTCTTCATCTCTTTTGCATCTATTAGGTCCTTACTGTTTCTGTCCTTTATTGAACCCATCCTTGCATGAAATATTCCTTTGATATCTCCCAGTATTCTTGAAGAGATGTCTAATCATTCTCATTCTATTGTTTCCCTCTATTTCTTTGCATTGTTTATTTAAGAAGGCCTTCTTATCTCCCCTTGCTGTTCTTTAGACCTCTGCATTCAGTCAGATATATCTTTCCCCCTTTCCCTTGCCTTTCACTTCTCTTCTTTCCTCAGCTGTTTGCAAAGTCTCCTCAGACAACCATTTTGTCTTCTTACATTTCTTTATCTTTGGGATATTTTGGTCACCACTCCTTGCACAGTGTTACACACCTCCATCCACAGTTCTTCAGGCACTCTGTCTACCAAGTCTAATCTCTCGAATCTGTGCATCACCTCCACTGTTAATCATAACGGATTTGATTTTAGGTCATACATGAATGGCCTAGTGGTTTTCCCTACTTTTTTTCAATTTCAGTCTGAATCTTACAATAAGGAGCTCATGATCTGAGCCACAGTGAGCTCCAGGTCTTGTTTTTGCTGACTGTATAGAGCTTCTTCATCTTTGGCTGCAAAGGACATAATCAATCTGATTTCAGTATTGACCATCTAGTGACATCCGGGTGTGGAGTCATCTCTTGGGTTGTTGGAAAAGGGTGCTTACTATGACCAGCGTGTTCTCTTGATAAAACTGTTAGCCTTTGCCCTGCTTCATTTTGTACTCCAAGGTCAAACTTGTCTGTTATTCCCAGTATCTCTTGACTTTTGCATTCCAATCCCCTATGATGAAAAGGGCATCTTTTTTTGGTGTTAGATCCAGACCTTTTAGGTTTACAGAACCAGTGAACTTCAGCTTCTTCAGTATCAGTGGTCGGGGCATAGAATTGGACCACTATGATGTTGAATTGTTTGCCTTGGAAACAAACCGAGATCCTTCTGTCATTTTTGAGATTGCACCCAAGTACTGCATTTCAGACTCTTTTGTTGACTTTTTTTTTCATCATTGTGTAGTTAGACAAAAAATTGTCTCTATGAGAATTTTGCTGTTTTCAAGTAAATAATACAGCTAAACTAATAATTTATAATAAATTAATAATGTAAACCTTACATGCAATTATATCATATTTCCTTAAAGTATTCAGATTATTGCTAGAGATTGATATCTAATTCTAGGGACTTCTATTAAAGAGTAGAGCAGTATTTCTCAAACTTTAGTGTGCAGAAGATTACCCTGGAAAAATGTAAACAGATTCCTTGGCCTCACTTCTAGGGATGCTGCTGCTGATGATTTCTAGACCTGTACTTTGAGTACCTCTAATATAGAAAACTTGGAAAAATCCTGAAGATTAATGTGCATAACCTATGACGAGTAGGAACTCTCACAGTTTAGCCAGAAGATTAACATGAAAATCTCAGATGTATAGAACAGACTTGTGGACTCTGGGAGAAGGCGAGGGTGGGATGTTTCAAGAGAACAGCATTGAAACATGTATATTATCTAGGGTGAAACAGATAACCAGCCCAGGTTGGGTACATGAGACAAGTGCTCGGGCCTGGTGCACTGGGAAGACCCAGAGGGATCGGGTGGAGAGGGAGGTGGGAGGGGGGACTGGGATGGGGAATACATGTAAATCCATGGCTAATTCATTTCAATGTATAACAAAAACTACTGTAATGATGTAAAGTAATTAGCCTCCAACTAATAAAAATAAATGGAAAAAAAAAATGAAATCAAGTGATGAACTAAGCACCTGAATGCCCTAGCATTTACTTTATACTCCCAACTTCTGTAATTTTAACAATTAAATACGTAATACCATGAGAACAAGAGGGGGCTTCTGATGACCCACAAATTATGAGAAAGGCTTAAAATGGTAGGTAGTGGCATATTTTTAAGGTAAATGTCACATCCCAAAAAGCTTGTAAGAGCATTTTTTTTAGGGTGGATTCAAGAAATAGGAGGGTAGATGGCAGCCAACCAGAGAGTAGTACTTGTTCAGTTCAGTTCAGTCCAGTCGCTCATGTCCGGCTCTTTGCGACCCCATGAATCGCAGCACGCCAGGCCTCCCTGTCCATCACCAACTCCTGGAGTTTACTCAAACTCATGCCCATCAAGTCGGTGATGCCATCCAGCCATCTCATCCTCTGTCGTCCCTTTCTCCTCCTGCCCCCAATCCCTCACAGCAGAGTACTTGTTAGTACTGCAGTAATAGCAGCCAGCTGGCTAGTTCCTCATCCACTCCTCCTCACCCACTAGCCTCAGAATAGAGACAAAGGTGTCATGTTTCCAACAAATAGGAGGGAGATGAGCCTTTGAAGGAGAATAAGTATCAAATGGCTATCAACTCCCAGCAGTTTGGGGGGTGCTCTAATGCTCAGAATGCAATTTATTGGCAACCCCAGCCAGCACCACATCCCTGACCCTACTCCCTAGCACTGGAGGTGAACTACCCTGAACAGAGCATTCATGGAGAGGCTAATGTGGAATCCCAAATTCCAGAAAGAACAAGCGAAAATCACCAGATATTCATGAAAAATTGACACCATAACGAAAAATGAGCCAAATGTGACAAACAGAAAATGCAAATATACCAGTATATACATTTACAAGGCTAAGTTATTGGATATTTTAATAAAAAAGAAATAATTATCTTATTATTCCTTAATTAGCCTAAAGGAAATCAACTCTGAATATTCATTGGAAAGACTGATGCTGAAGCTCCAAAACTTTGGTCTCCTTATGCGAAAAGCCAACTAATTGGAAAAGACCCTGATGCTGGGAAAGATTGAGGGCAGGAGGAGAAGGGTGCAATAGAGAATGAGATGGTTGGATGGCATCACCAACTCAATGGATGTGAGTTTGAGCAAACTCTGGGAGATAGTGAAGGACGGGGAAGCCTAGCATGCTGTAGTCCATGGGATTGCAAAGAGGTGGACTTGACTGAGCAACTGAAAAACAATAATTAGTTATCTTAAGAAGAGAAACTATTAAATCCTTGAAATAGGAATTTTTTTTTTCCCTAAAGAGGAGACATTTGGGGGTGGGGAGGGAGTGGCGGGAGTCAGTAAATAAGCTGAATAGGAGATAAAGCTAAATAACAAGCAGTGACTCCAAAGACTGAGCTGAGTAGTTCTGCTAGGATATAATACAAAAGGACAAAGAAATCAAAAGTAAGAAAAGCTTATTTTTTGTTTTTAACTTTTTGATACAGAGATCAGGGTAATGCTGATCTGTGTATCAAATTTGATACCAGTTTGATTCAGCTTTCAGGGTAATGCTTGACCAGTAATTTCTTTCTCATGGTAGAGATAACCCATCACCAACCCTCTAGACCTCTGGCAGGCAGCTCTACTTGTGTTCCTAGACAGATTTGCAGGAATGAGTGTGAGCAGCACTTGATGAATTTTAGTGTAGTATCAAAGGAGAATATGTGTAATTGTGTGAAGAGTCTATTATAACACTCCTGCCTTTTAAAGCTACATATCTGTGTGGGACTAGACTCCATGTAATTCAACCAAAATAATGTATTGCAATAAATATGTACAACTAAATATAAGAATCCACTGTCTTCTTTCAAACTGTATAGGAAAGAGATTTGTGAACATATAAAAGAGTGCCACTCTTCTCACTAAATATTTTTTTGTTTTGTAAAATATTGTTTAACAAAAAATGTTATTCATGTTAAAGTCAAATGGATTCGTTTTTGATACTTTTAGCTAGTTAATAAATATTTTAGTTGTCTTTGTTTTAATTGCAAATGTTATGAATATCAGTAGTTGTAACCTCAGAAATGAAAGAAATAATTCGAAGAAATTCAAATCAAAAAAATAATTCAAAGAAATAATTAAATTCTTTCGGCATGAAGATTTTATATGCCTTTAACTATGTGTGGCCCTAAGATTTGGGTGCTTATTTCTCATTTTATTTATTCCATAGGATGTCTCCTGAACGAGTAAGGTCCCTGTCGCGAATCTGTGTCCCACTTGTTACTTTGCCAGATTTTGAACCACTGGTAGAGGCTCTGCTCACCTACCATGGACATGAACCTCAGGAAGTTCTCTGGCCTGAGTTCTTTGATGCTGTGAATGAGGCTTTTTTGCTGTAAGTGATGACCCTTTACTTCATCATCCAATTCTGTTTTCGTTTTTATAGAATACTTCAGTATGTTGGAAATGTAATTTTCAAATGTTTTGGTCTCAGTATACTGTATATTCCTAAAAATTACTGAGGATCTCAATGAACTTTTTAAAAAATGTGGGTTCTATCTGTCAATATTTACCATACTTGAAATTAAAACAAAAAATTTTTAAATATTTATCATTTCCTTTTAAAATAACAATAATTGATTAAATATTAATACAAATAGCATATTTTTTAACAAAAAACTGACCTTTTCCAAGAAAAAAAAATTGTCCACCAAGAATGACATTGTTTTTACATTTTTGCAGACTTCTTTATTTTTTGACTTAAAAGATGACAGCTAGGTTCTCACCGTATTTCTGTATTCAGTCTGATGCAGTATTTTTTTGGGTTGAAGTATAAGAAAATCCAGCTTCACATAGACATGCACTTGGAAAAAGGACTAGTATATTTTAATAGCCATCTCAGATTGTGGATATTTGAGGTGAATACCTCACCAAAAGTTGAAAGTGGTGGGGTTTTTTTAAAGGTTAGTTGCAATGTGGATTCTGAAATTATGTAAATGAGCTTTTCATACTATTACATTAAAACCCATTGGTCTGTCTTATACTTTTAATGGATTTTGTAGTTTCATACATGGTTTGTTTGGAAAATATTGGTTCATTAAGTTATGCAGATCTTCCAAACATTGACATATTTTCATTTTATACTATCAAAATTACATTCATTCACAACTAGTCTTATCAGGAATGTCTTTTAAGTGTTGGGAAGCTATAAAGCTCACATTGGTGAAAGCAAATTTTCCAAGATTCTAATTCCTGCTTAAAAACTCAAATTTATCATTGGTTACAATGCTGTCAGTTGTTTTCCTTAGTATGCTAAGGTCACTTCTGTAATTTTGAAAAAGTATGTGCCAAATATTCAAGTCTGGATAACCTTTGTTTGTTCGCCAGTCATTTTTCTCAAGTAAGTTTATGAAAAAAGTGGCTAGTTGATCTTGCAGTTCAGCAAGTTACACAAGTGCTTTTCCTTTAGACAGTCATCATTTTTTGGTATATGGCAGAAATGCTTTATGCATACTTTTCACCACACAGAATTTTTTTTAAGTTCAAAGTGTCCTCAAGGGTAAAATTAAGAAAATTAATATTTTATATTAATACTTACTGTGAAATGCATTTTTATGTGAAACTGGCAGTGTTTTTACTGTATGTAGTATCAGAGTGTACAGTGACCACTGTCACTGCTCTGATTTGTGTTAGGTACAAATTACTTGCTTTTTGTACTATGAATGCAAATGTCAACTCAGTTGTTCTAGGAAAACCACGAGATACAAAATAGTTATTCAACACTTCAAGTATTTCTGTACCATATGTGTGTATTGATAAGTTCATCTAAAAAAAAACTCCTATTCTTAGTTAACGCTAATACCAGGTGAATAGAAGCAACACAGCTAGTTCAGTCATATCTAGAGATTCAGTTTTAAGGCAGAAGTACAGTTCTGAAATACTAAATCAAATACACATTTGAATTATTTAACTCCTTTTTTTAAAGATTCTGAATGATTGGTCTAAAGTTAGTGCTGCAATTAACTAGCACTATGATAGAGTTTGAGAATATCCTGTTAGACAGGATACAGGAAGATACATTTACAATTTAGCACAGTACTTTGAACTAGTTGTCCTACTCTCATGAGTCAGAGAAATATCTGGTGTTTTGATTTTATCTTTTCCCCATGAAACAGCTGTGAAATGAAAGGAGAAATACTTTAATTCTCTTTTGTAAAGCAAATAATCCAGTTTTAATATAAGAAAATTTAAATAAAATTTATTTTTTAATAAAATATTATTAAAGTTTAAAATAAATAAAAATGTTTTATTTATATAAAAGATTTAAATATGTAAAGTATATATCTAAAATAATTTGGATGCAATTTAGGAAATTTTTTAAAAGATGTTTGGGTTTATTATAAAATAAGACAAAAATGCACTTGGCTTCTGTTATGTTTCCATGTAAGCACAAGAGAAAATATCAGAGTTTTTATTTATTTATTACATTTTATTTTCCCCCACCTTTAGTGAGATATAAGTGATATATAACGTGGTGTATTTTTTAAGATGTATGAATTAATTTAGTTGCAAATGACTACCGCCATAGTGTTAGTTAATACCTCCCTCACATCACAGGATTGGCATTTCTTTTTTTTTTGTTGTGAGAATATTTCAGATCTACTTTTAGCAACTTTCAAATATGCAATTCAGTATTATTAACTATGTGCCATGCTGTGCTGTACTTAGTCGCTCAGTCATGTCTGTCTCTGCAAACCCATGGACTGTAGCCCACCAAGCTCCCCTGTCCATGGGGCTTCTTCAGGTGAGAATCCTGGAGTGGGTTGCCATGCCCTCGTCCAGGGGATCTTCCCAACCCAGGGATCAAATGCAGGCTTCCTGCATTGCATGCAGATTCTTTACCATCTGAGCCACCAGGGAAGCCCATTATTAACTACAATCAGCATGATGTATTTTTAGATCCCCAGAACTTATTCATCTTATAACTGGAAGTTTTAAGTACTTTTTGATCAACATCTTCCCATTTCTCCCACACCCCCAGTCCCTAGTAGCCATCGTTCTAGTCTCTGTTTCTGTGAGTTTATATTTTTTTAGATTCCACATAGAGTGATACCATATTTGTTTCTTTAACTTACTTCATTTAGCGTAATGCCCTCAAGGTCATGCCCTCCATGTTGTCACAGCCAAGGATTTCCTTCCCTTCTCATGCCTGAATAATACCTGATTGTGTGTATGTGTGTGTGTACAGATATAAATATAAATACCACATCTTTATTCATTCTTCTATTGTTGGACACTTAGCTTGTTTTCATATCTTAACTATTTTGAATATACATAATAAACATGGGAGAACAAATATCTTTTTGATACCTTGTTTTTATTCCTTTTGGATATATACCCAGAAGTGGGATTGCTAGATTGTTTGATAGTTTTAGTTTTAATTTTTTGAGAAGCCTCTATACTGTTTTCCATAGTAGCTGCACCAATTTGTGTTCCCACCAGTGTTACACCAAGGGTTTCCTTTTCTTCACATTCTCACCAACACTTGTTATCTTTTGTCTTTTTGATGATAGCCATCCTAGTAGGTGTGGAGTGATATTTCACTGTGATTTTGATTTGCATTTCCCTAATGATTAGTGATATTGAGTACCTTTTCATTTACCTGTTGGGCATTTGCATATCTTCTTTGGAAAAATGTTTATGTATATGTTCTGCCCGCTTTTTAATCAGATTGTTTCATTTTTTTTCCTGTTGAGTTATATGAGTTCTTTATATATATTGGATGTTTACTCATTATCAGACATATACTGTGCAAATATTTTCTTTCCTTCTTTAGGTTGCCTTTTTATTTTGTTGATAGTGTAGAAGTTTTTTGCAGTATAGAAACTTCTTAGTTTGATGTAGTTCCACTTAATCTATTTTTGCTTTTGTTGCCTTTGCTTTCGTTGTCAAATCAAAAAAGTCATTGCTAAGACTAATGTCATTCTTGTCCTCTATTATATTTTCTTCTGGGAGTTTTACAGTTTTAGGTCTTAACATTCAATTCCTTAATCCATTTTGAGTTGATTTTTGTGTTTAGTATAAGATAGGGGTCCAGTGTCTTTTTTTTTTTTTGCATGAGGTTTATCCATTTTCCCAGTATCATTTATTGAAGCAACTATTTTCCCCCTACTATATATTCCTGGCCTTTCTGTCATAATTTAGTTGATTTATATATTTATGAGTTTGTTTCTAGGCTGTCTTTTCTGACTGATGTGTGTATACCAATGCCATACTGTTTTGATTATTATAGTTTTGTAATATAGTTTACATGTAAAGCTGTGAGAGTTGGACTATAAAGAAAGCTGAGTACAGAAGAATTGTGCTTTTGATGCTTTTTAACTGTGGTGTTGGAGAAGACTCTTGAGAGTCTCTTGGACTGCAGGGAGAGCCAACCAGTCCATCCTAAAGGAAATCAGTCCTGAATATTCATTGGAAGGACTGATGCTGAAGCTGAAACTCCAATACTTTGGCTACCTGATGTGAAGAACTGACTCATTGGAAAAGACCCTGATGCTAGGAAAGATTGAAGGTGGGAGGAGAAGGGGACAACAGAGGATGAGATGGCTGGATAGCATCACCGACTTGATGGACATGAGTTTGAGTAAGCTCTGGGAGTTGGTGATGGACAGGGAAGCCTAGTGTGCTGCAGTCCATGGCGTCACAAAGAGTCAGACACAACTGAGTGACTGAACTGAACTGATAATAGTTTGAAATCAGGAATTACGATATCTCCCCCTCTTCTTTCTCAAGACTGCTTTGACTGTTCAGGGTTATGATTTCATATAAATGTTAGGATTGTTTTTTCTGTTTCTGTGAAAAATAGCATTAGAATTTTGATAGGGATTGCATTGACTCTATAGGTCACTTTGGGTAGTAGTATAGACATTTTAACAATATTAATTCTTCTGATCCATGGAAAAGTGTATTTCCACTTAATTGTATCTTCTTCACTTTCTTTCCTCAAAATCTTAATCGTTGTCAGTAAACAGATCATTAGCCTCTTTAGTTAAATTTATTCCTAGGTGTTTTAGTCTTTTGGATGCAGTTGTAAATGTGATTGTTTTCTTAATTTCTTTTTTTATAATAGATAATTCATTGTTAGTATTTAAAAATGCAGTTGATTTTTGTATTAATTTTATATCCTACAACTTTACTGAGTTTATTGGTTAGTTGTAATTTTGTTTTTTTGTGTGTGAAGTCTTTATGGTGTGTTTGTGTATGTATGTGTATGTATCTCCTGTCATGTGCAAATAGAGACAGTTTTACTTCTCCTTTTTAGACGTGCATGCCTTTTATTTCTCTTTCTTGCCTAATTGCTCTGACTAGGTCTTACAGTATTATGTTGAATAAAAA